GTGTCTATGGGATTTGGGAAAATAAAAGGCCTAACTCTTTTATGCGGGAGCTCTGGTAGCATAGTGCCTAAGGCACTTGACTGCTAACCAGAAGGCTGGCAGTTCAAACCCACCAGCCACTCCTCAGAAGGAAGGTTGGGCAATCTACTTCTCTAGTGATACCACCTCGGAAAACCAAGGAGGGTTGCTATGAGTCAGGTCTGACTTGACGGCACATAACAACAACTCTTTTAGGCAGTGTGCTTCATTAATTTGTGACCTATGGCTAATGCCTTTTTGTAAAATAATAGATATCAGTACCTTTCAAAATTCAGTTGTTTTTTTTTTTTTTTTCCCCAGTATTGTGGTCTTAGGTTCTTAATAAAGTCATTCAATTTCCTCTGGAGATTAGGGAACATCAGGAGGAATGGTAGTTTTCAAAGTATTGCTGCTGTTTTTAATTGAGTTGTAACTCAGAGACAATGGGATCAGATCATTGTGATCCATGAGGTTTTCTAACTTAGTACTGAAATTCTAATTTTTACCCAAAGAGTTTATACTGTAGGTCAAACATACTCCCCTGTCCTGCCTTTGGTGAAACCAACCTAGATGCTTACTTTATTTCACTTACTTACATAACTCAATTTTTTTTGCATTAATATCTCAACTGCAGATAATACATAAATAATATCCAGCTGACAGTGATTATGCGAAAGGTTTTTTTTTTTTTCCCCAGAAGTAGATCACCAGCCCTTTCTTCCTAATCTTAGTTTAGAAGCTTCATTGAAACCTGTTTAGCATTTTAGCAACACTCAACCTTCTACTGACAGATAGGTGGTGACTATGTACAGGTGCAGTGGCCAGGAATGAAACCAGAGTCTCCAGCATGAAAGGTGCGAATTCTACCACGGAAAGGAGCCGTCCTCAATTAGAGATGCAGCCCACCACCTTAGCAAGGCCCCGCAATGGAGACAAGAGAAACAAAACCCTACAGTGAAGTGATGTCCAGGCAGGAAGATGATACTCAGAAGATGCTTGAGATGACCAAGAAGCACTTAGAATATGCTAAGTGGCCATGCTAACTGTGTGACTTCAAACAACCGAAACGTATTCTCTTACAATCTGGACACTAAGAGTCTGAATTCAGGGTGTCATCAGGGCCGTGCTCTCTCTGAAGGCTCTAGAAAAAGATCCTTGCTTTGTCTCCTCCAGCTTCTGGTAGTCCCAAGCTTTCTTTCAGAAGTAGATCCTTGGCTTGTGGCAGCAGGATGCGATCTCTGCTTTTGTCTTTACATGGTCATCTTCCTTCTGTGTCTCTTCTCTTGTAAGGATATGAATCATAAAGAGACTAAGGCCCACCTTATGACCTCATCTTAATTTAACTAATTACATTTGCAATGATCGTGTTTCTAAAGAAGATCACATTTACAGGGGTTAGGGTTTGAACACATATCATTTTGGTGGACACAACCTAATCCATGACTTCCTCTCAGTTTTGGGGATGGTGACAAGTGGAATGGCACACTTGCATAAGGGCTAAGAGTATGGACAGGTCAGCCAGTCCTGGGCTTAAACCCTCATGCTTATGAACTCTGTGTCCTCATTGGATTTATTCTGCCCTTCCGTGTTCTAGTTTCTCCATCTGTAAAATGAGAATAATGGTGCCCACCTTGAAGCAGTACTATGAGAATTAAATTAATAATGTATGTTTACATGCTTTGCATAGTGTATGGTACCTGCAAGCACCCAAATAGGTATGACTATAAAAACCTACATAGAAAATATTAGTTACTTCCAGTCACTAATTTACATTTTTTTATACTTTGTTACAAGTTTCAAGCTTTCAGCAGAGAAAATGCACTCCTTTTCTAAAATCAATCTTGCTATAGGTATGTGTACATGAGCTGACAATGGCTCGCTGAAAAGGCACTGGCCTGTGAGGGATCTTCAGGATCATACATCTCAACTCATGCATTTTTATAAATAAGGAAACTGAGGCCCAGAAATTTTACTTCCACAGCAAGTTAGGACAAGAATCCAGGCTTTCAGATGAGGGAAGGATGAATGTATGAGAGAAAAGCATACCTATATTGGATATGGGAGCTCTGGTGTGTAGTGCCTAAGGCACTTGACTGCTAATCAGAAGAATGGTGGTTCAAACCCACTAACCACTCCTTGGAAGGAAGGTTGGGCAATCTGCTTCTGTAGAGATACTACTGCCTCAGAAACCCAAGAAGGGGTTGCTATGAGTCAGATTCGACTCTATAGTAGTGAGGTTTTTTTTGGTTTTATCTTGGATATATGACTGGGTATATAGTAGTGCCGGGAGCTCTGGTAGCATAGTGGCTAAGGCACTTGACTGCTAACCAGAAGGCTGGCGGTTCAAACCCACCAGCCACTCCTCGGAAGGAAGGTTGGGCAATCCTACTTCCGTAGTGATACTGCCTCGGAAACCCAAGGAGGGGTCGCTATGAGTCAGGGCTGACTCGACGGCACATAACAACAACAACATAGTAGTGCCACCACCTGTTGATCAGTTTGTCATACTTTGCTGGCTTGCATGTTGTTGTGATGCTGGAAAATATGCCACAGGTATTTTAAACAAGGTCTCCCATGGTGGACAGGGGTCAGTGAGGCATCTAGACTAACACAGACTAGAGAGAAAGGCCTGGCAATCTACTTCTGAAAATTAGCCAATGAAAGCCTTATAAATCACAGAAGAATATTATCAGATATAATGTTGGAAGATTAGCCCCCTAGGTTGGAAGGCACTATACAATAGCCACAACAATAGATCCATGCAGACCAACCATCATGAAGATGACATAAGACCAGGCAGCATTTTGTTCTGTTGTACATAAGATCACCGTAAGTCAGAGATGACTCAAGGGCAACTAAAAACAACATATAATGATGATGTAAGCCAAGAATGAGCAAAAGGGTCAGGGGTATCGAGAATGGGAAGAATCAAGGTTACTTTAAAGGTTCAAGTTTTGGGGCTTGGAAGGGTGAGGACTGAAAAGGGGAAGTTTATGAGAGAAGTAGTTTTGACATGATACAGACTATGGGTTTGGTTGGAATGTTGTCATCTTTGAGAAACATCCTAGTGGGCTTCACCTATGAGCTGTTTAAAATCTAGACCTGGATCAGTGGGGTCAGAGCAGTCCTGGGAATGCAGATCTGGAACAGATTGTCATGGAATTGAAAGATGAAGCTGCATAAACATACTTTTCAAAGTTCAAAGGATAAACTCAGAAAATACCAAAGGGACAAGGCTGTGCTGACAGGATCAGTTAAAAATAAAATGGGGAGAGGAAGTGGCATTGAAGAAGAGAACTATTTAAGAGAAAGTGCTAAAGGATTGGTTTCAAGGTGGGCATGATTGTCAAGAGTCAGACATTCAGCAAAGAGGCTAGGAGATAAAAAGTTGGAAAAATAAACCAATAGTCCTTTGAATTTGGCCAAAAAGCACTGATCATTGAAAGAGCAGTTTCAGAGATGGGGAAATGAAGCAGCCCAAATCCCTTATTCAAGAAATTAGAATGGGAAATAAAGTAAGAAGGCATTTGATGATAGCTGAGAGAGATGGCAGAGCAGTGTAATGGGTTATTCACGATAATGGACTCTATGAATATTTGAAAGCATAAAGGAAGAGATGAAGAAGGAGAGATTAAAGCTTTTGGGAGGTAGAAGATACACCTGGAGTAAGAGTCCTCAGGAGGCAAAAAAAAGTAAGAGATCAAGGCTCATTGGAGTCACTAGCATTAAATCCTAAAGACATTCCTCCCTCCTGATATCGTGAATACTTTTGCCTTTAAGTATTTTGGAGTTTCTGGAAGTCATAGGATATTTACAAGGACTGGAAGATTCCACTTACATGTACTTCTTATTTTATAGAAGAAACAAGTAATAGCACACACAGGATTGGGGCCTTTTTCTCCTGGCACAGCTGTTGTTTGAACAGCACCACATACTTAGCACAGCTGTCATGAAACCGTTACTTGTGTGGTTATTTGCTTGGTCCTATTCTTCCCTGGTGGACTCTAAACTGCATGAGGGGAGGATCCACTGTGCTTACAACCCATGTATCCCAGCAACTCATACACATAGCAGAAGCTCAATACATGTGTTAAACATATGACTAAATGAATGAAGAATGAGTGGCCTTTCCTAGAGAGAGAGGAAAAAAAAAAGTATGTTAGGGAGGTAACTCTGGCTGTATATAACTCTCAGGAGAGAAGTCAGGCAATTTAGCAAGGACATTACTTCCTTAAACACCACTTGGTAAATGACTTTGGATCTTTCTTAAATGCAGTCCCAGGACATTAATGCCCACACAAACCATACACCTAAAGCTATCACTGAAACCCACAAAAGAATCTGCCCCTTGAGTGCAGACTAGAAGTGAATTTCACTAGAGAAAAAGGTGACATGCAACATATTGACACTTTCTGTACTGACTTCATGGCAAATTTCTTCTATTTTCTGTGAAATGCTAATAATGGGAAGTGGTATTTTTAAGATTTTAAACACTAATAGGCACATCTGGGGCCTTAACTGTTCACCATATTATCCTATTCTCTACTTTTTCTAAAGGTTCAATTGATACATTTTCAACTTTGTAAAATATTTTGATTGTAACTTAGGCTACTACTAAGTTGGCTTACATTGTTGTGGATTTTCCATCTAAAAACTATTTACCATAAGCTGGTAAGCACCAGGATCCATGTAGTACAGTCCACAAGGTGTGCTCTATGGATATTTGCTGACTGAATAAATAATGCTGTAGGTTAAGAGCAACTTCATGCCATCACTTCATTTCACCCTCATATCAACTTTTTGACGTGGATGTTAACCACATTTTACAGGTGAGAAATCTAAAACTCAAGAAGGTTGAACTATTTGCCCAGTGTCACTCAGCACTTGGGACTTAAATCCAAGCCTTCTGATTCCCTGTTCATCATTATTTCTCTTCTCTGATGCTACTCTAGTTCTGATTTCTTTCTCTTTTTCCTCTTCAGGAAATGATGAGCAGAAGCTCTCAACAGAATGGCTTATTGTGCTTATCATGGCAGCCATGTGCTTCATCTTGTTAATTCTCACACTCATCTGCAGAATGTAGGTGTTCTTTACAGTTGGGTGCTTCTAGTGGGGTGTGCAAGGGACTCTGGTGGTATAGTGGGTAAGGGATTTGGCTGCTAACTAAGGGGTCTGGCTGCTAACTAGAAGATTAACAGTTCAAACTCATCAGCTGCTCTGCAGGAGGAAGATGAGGCAATCTACTTCTGTAAAGATTTACTGCCTTGGAAATCCAATGGGGGTTGCTATGGGTCAGAATAGACATGCTGGCAATGGGTTTGGTTTTTCAGTGGGGCATATGTGCCCCATTTGACTGCTAAGGCATTTGACTTGTATCACCACGGAAGTAGATTGCCCAACCTTCCTTCTGAGGAGTGGCTGGTGGGTTTGAACCACCAGCCTTCTGGTTAGCAGTGAAATGCCTTAGGCATTATGCCACCAGAGTGATACTACCTTGGAAAACCAAGGAGAGGTCACCATGAGTCAGATCTGACTAGATGGTAGTACGTTGCGTTTGTTGTTTATGTATTGAATTATTACAGTGTGGCTACGCATTCAAAAGTCTCTGGGTGGCGCAAGCAGTATACAACTGGCTACTAACGTAGAGGTTGGCGATTTGAACCCACCTAATGGAATCACAGAAGAAAGGCTGGAGATGTTCTTCTATAAAGATTATAGCCAAGAAAACACTCTGGAGCAGTGTAACTCTGTAACATATGATGTTGCTCTGAGTCAGAATCAACTCGACAGCAGTGGGCTTGGCTTGGTTTTGGCCATGCGTCCACTAGATGCATGGACTTTAATGTATTTTTCTGTCTTCCTAGACAGATTTTTTAAGGTGAGTGTAGACCAAATCACAAGTGAGAAAACCAGGAGTGAGCACATTACAGTCGTGAGCCAGTATACACTCCTCCTCCAATTTGTCCACAGCTTAGTATTTTTTGAGAGGTTTTTACTTTGTGTTCTTTTGATTCCTTCACCACCTTTCATTCAGCTCTGAACTGATTTTGTTAAGCTATCTATGTGAGCCTTTTACACATCTCTGGTAAAACAAGGCAATCCACTGGAGGCTGAGACAATTACAATGCCTTCCCTGTTATTACTCCCAATTACCAGGGGCCAACTCCTACCTTGGTTCTTCAGTTATCCTGCCCCTCAGTGGCTGTTTTTAAATCAAACACAGATCATGCAAGTATCTTGTAGATTTGGTGTACCATCCTCTCAGTGCCTCCAAAAGGCCGCATAAACACTCCCCCACCCATCGTAGCATTCAGGAAGGCAAAGTACCATGTAGAAGGTTGGCCCTTTCATGTTGTTGAAAATGAGTTTTTAATAATTGTGTCAACTGTGATTATATTCAGATGATATCCATGGATTGGAGGTCACTGTTAAAAGAAGGGGAAGAAGAAACTCTGTGAGCCAGCCCAGTGAGGGAAGGGATTACTATGGCAATGCAACTGTAGGTAGTACAATAAGATGCCTCATACCTGACACATATCCATTTTAAGAAAATTGGCATTGAAATGAAGCAATTACCATTTTGTCTTTCTTTAAAGATTAAAAAACCTTGTCAGAGCCTTGCAGTATCCCATGGCCAACTATTGTTACAATGTAGATATTTGGAAATTGGAGTCCCTGGATGGTACAAATGATTAACACACTTGGCAACTAAAGGAAAAGTTGATGGTTTGAGTCCACAAAGAGTAACCTTGGCAGGAAAGGCTGGCAATCTACTTCTGAAAAATCAGCCACTGAAAACCCAATGGAGTACAGTTTCACTCTGACACACATGGGTTGCCATGAGTCAGATTCAACTCAAGAGCAATTGATTATATGGAATATCATACTACCTGAGGCATTTGACTGCTAACCAGAAGGGTGGTGGTTCGAACCCACCAGCTACTCTTCAGAAGGAATATTGGACAATCTGCTTCAGTAGAGATACTGCCTCAGAAACCCAAGGAGGGGTTGCTATGAGTTGAGATCAACTTGATGGCAGTGCGTTTATGGTCTATAACGATTTTGAATTCACAAAGCAGAAGGTCTTAGAATAGGCCACTCTTTTGAATAGCTATTTGAGGACAAGAAGGGATGCTCAAGACTACCTCATTTTTGCCTTTACTCTCCTTTCAGTTGTCACTTATGGACCAAGTTGTTTCCACCAGTTCCAGAACCTAAAAGCAACATTAAAGACCTCTTTGTAAGCACCAACTACGAGGTAATATTGAAGGCTGTCATGATATGGCATATGTCCCAAATTGGGTTCCTAGGGAACAGTCATTAGTCTATTAGTTTTTGCATATAATGCAGGGTTTTTACCCAGGAAACCAGGAATCTTTCATTGCTTCAGATGTTTATTTATACATACACACATATATATATATATAGAGAGAGAGAGAGAGAGAGATAGATACAGATATAGATATAGATAGACAGACAGATAGATATAGATATATATAATTATCTTTACCTACTGGAAATGCCAGACTTTAATTTTAACTTCCTATTAGCCATCTCTTTACTGACTTTATGGAGCCCTAGTGATACAGTAATTCAGAGCTCAACTGCTAACCAAAAGATTGACAGTTCAAACCTACCAGCTGCTCCACAGGAGAAAAATGTGCCAGTCTGTTTCTATAATTACAGCTTTGGAAACCTTATGGGGTCAGTTTTATTCTGTCCTACAAGGGTCACTATGAGCCATAATTGACTTGATGGCAGTTGGTTTGGCTTTTGGTTACTGACCTTGAACAATTCTTTCCACCAATAAGCCCCAACTTCCTTTTTGGTAAAGGGCATAGATGAGACAGTCCAAGGTTCTGCTTATTTTTAACATTTAAAGAATCCATGTTGTTATACACAAGTATCCTTATCAAAAGGGAATTTTCATGGGAAATTTAGTTCCTTAGAATACAGAATCATAGAGAAGGCAAGTAATGATTTTTCCAAATACACTTTTTTTTTTTTTTAAGGTCTAAACTGAATGGTAACCATCTAATTGTGTCAGCATAATTTGCTGAGAACAAGCATCTTTGCCCCAATGGATAGCCGTGGCAACATTGTCACAATCAGTTGTCCATATATGTGTGGGTCTATTTCTGGACTGTTTAGTCTCATTGATCTTTATGCCAATTCTGCACTGTCCTTATAACTGTACCTTTATAATAAACCTTGAAACCAAGTAGTATCAGGCTTCCAAAAATGATTTTTTCTGTTTCAAAGTTGTTTTTTTTTTAAAAAAGCTATTCTACACCCTTTGCATTTCCATATCAATTTTAGAGTCAGCATTATCAATTTCTACAAATGGCTGCTGAGATTTGATTGAGATTTTATTGAATTACAGATTAATTTTGGGGGAAGTGACATCTTAACAATATTGAGTCTTCTGATCTATGAACATGGAATCACTATTTCTTTCAGGCTTCTTTAATTTCTTTCAAAAACGTTTTGTCGTTTTTAGTGTATAGTTCTTGCACATAATATGTCAAATTTATCATGAAACTGATAGATAATTTAGATCAAGAGTCAGAAAACCTTTCCTGGAAAGACCCAGATAGTACATATTTGAAGGCCAAGTGGTTTTTGTTGCAACTACGACATTATTCTGCCATTGTAATGTGAAAGCAGTCAGTAGTAATATATAAATGAACTCACGTGGCTGAGTTCCAATACGACTTTATATACAAAAACAAGTGACAACCAGATTTGTCCCATGGGCTGTAGTTTCCTGACCCCTAGTTTAAATCAAGCCATTTTCTTGACAAGTTCATATTATCTCTGATGAAGTGACTCATGATTGGATGAACAGCTGGGTGACTGGTTGTGGAAATAGGAAGATACAGATTGAAAACCCACCAAGATGTTTAATTTCAATAAGCTGTGACCTTTCTTCAGTGTTTGCAATTTTGGTGTTTGGGATGATCATAGACCATGATGGTTACTAACCTAGTGGAGCAGAGAATTGAGAGTAATAAAATAATTGATCACTTTGCCCTTGGTTCAATCCATGTGTTGATCTGGGAGCACACCATCTGCCCTTGTAAATCCACATTCTTTCTGGAAGGAGAGTGGGTCCAAGTATAAAATTTGGTTTTAGTTTATCTGAATGTGAGCTGTCAATCCCACCTTGTTCTGGCACCCACATTCCTGAGAAACTAGATTTAAGTAGCAGACAAGTCATTTGTCCTGGCCTCATAATGGAACATCTTAATGCTGGTATCTAATTTCCCTACAGAGCCCCAAAAGAGTTCCTTTAATATTCTGAGGTTGGTGAAAGAAACTGGCTTAAGAGCTTATTGTATAAGCTGTGGTTTGTTTTTAATTAAAATCAAGTCATGTGTGCAAAATAATAACTTGGGGTAGACAAGCTGGTTTCAGAAGAAGCAAAGGATTAATGTCAGAGCTTGGCACCGCCTGGCTTCTCAGGACAACTTACTCTTCATATTGCACACTTGTATGTGAAAACAGACTGACGAGAGAGAAAGGGGGCAGATATAGAGAGGAGAGACACAGACGCCACATACACACACAGAGAAAGAGGAGAGAGAGAGAGAGGTGAAGAGACACAAACATGTGTACAGAGGGAGAGAATTGGGAAAATGCAGTTTTGCCTTGTGCTGTCCAGGCCTATGGTTGAAAATTCAAACCTGTGGGATTTGTGACTGAGTGTGGAGCTGTTCACAGCTGGGCTGCGTATACCTATGTTCCAGCATCTATCTCAAAGGCAGAAGCCATTCAACTTACTCTTGGAGCCTCTGCTACCAAAGATAGTAACGCCTCCAATCAGTGCTGTTGGTGGTGGTTGGCAATGCAGACTAGTCCAAACCACTGGGGAAGAGTTTGGTTGGTAGGGAATAGAAACCCACTACTTCTAATTACAATTTGAACCTCTAAGATTGGCATGGGTAGCCAAAGTCCTGCCATCCCAGAATTCTGTTTGTTAAGCAAGATTTTACTTGTTCAGGCCCCTCAAATAGTTTTTTTTTTTTTTAAATATTCAAGATACAGATAACCTGGGGGGAAGGGAGGGACAAGTAAGCTGGCTTTTAGAAGTAAAGAAAGCCTACTTCAAAAAACATTTAATGAACTCTCATTTTATTAGACTAGTTTCCAGCTGTTCTGTTTTTTCTTTTTTTCTTTTGAAATGGTACCCAGAAGAGAGTTTCTTCCAGAATTAAGTAGGCTACAACTATTTAAATACATACATGCAGAGACCATGTGTGTCTTGCTCATCACTGAATACTCAACATGTAGCAAGCGTCTAATGTAGAGAAGGTATTTAAAAATGTGTCGAATGAGCAAATGAGGTAAAGGAATATGGTATTCTAGAGGTAATATTTTTTATTATACATTTTCTAATTCACATCAGCATTATTTGTAATAGCTAAAATTGAATACAATAAATAGTCAACATTAAGGAATACTAAACTAAGGATAGGAGCTCTGGTAGCATAGCGCCTAAGACATTTGACCGCTAACCAGAAGGCTGGTGGTTCAAACCCACCAGCCACTCCTCGGAAGGAAGATTGGGCAATCCTACTTCCGTAGTGATACTGCCTCGGAAACCCAAGG